ACATTTCACAGCATGAATATTTTCTAAGCCAGTTAACCTAGACAAGAGGTGGATTAGCATTTTGTTGCTTTTAATTATGTTTCCTGTATCCTTTGGCCTGCTGGATATCTTAAGCAAGGAGATACCCACATCTGGACTGAAAGTATGTTTGAGATCTGTTAAAAACCACGAGCACATCAACTGCAAAATCTGGTTTGTATCAGGGTCAGTGAATGCTCTCTTCATGATTTGTTTACCTGCCTGTTCAACTTGTGATAAATGTATGGGGACATGAAGGGACATTCATGTCCACTGTATTGTCCTCATATACTGGTTCAGAACTGATTTTTCATGGAGTGACTCTGAACTAAAACTTTTCAATACTTCCATTGAAACTGGTTTATTTGTGTTTTGTCCCACTATCTTAAACTCTTCCAGGCAATTGAAACCTCAAATAAAACAGAACTCAGGGAAACTCAACCAGAAGTCAACACTTTAGCACCCTCTACAGTTCACTGCTACACTTGAGTGGCACTGGTAGTTTTCTCCATGTTTAGCCCGTTCTGGAAATGAAACTCAGTGCAAGAGAAACTTAATGAAGTGAAACTTAATGAAGAGAAACTTAATGAAGTGAAACTTAATGAAGTGAAACTTAATGAAGAGAAACTTAATGAAGTGAAACTTAATGAAGAGAAACTTAATGAAGTAAAACTCAGTGAAGTGAAACTCAGTGAAAACAGAAAGCTCAAAAATAAAATGTATTTACAAAGTACACAACTCCAATAACTTGAGTTTCTGACAGTGTGTTAAGCAGACTGTGTCTCTACATTTGGATCTCTGAATGCTTTTTGTTTTAATACTTTCAGTGTTTAACAGCCACTATTGTATGAACAGTGGCTCCATTCTGCATAAGGGTTTTGTCAGGAAGGGCATTCAATTCAATTTTATTTCTATAGCCCCAAATTACACACAACAGTTGCGTCAAGGCACTTAATATAGTAAAGTAAAGATCCTACAAGAATACAAAAACCAGAAAAAAGCCCAGCAATTATATGGCCCCCTATTAGCAAGCGTTGGCAACAGTGGGAACGAAAAACTCCCTTATATCAGGTGAAAAAAATCTGCCAGAACTACGCAGATCTACTTACTGTGGTAACTGCTTGTGAATAAGGGAACAGCCCAAATTAGCTTTGAATAAACTCTGTGTGATTAAACAAGCTCATTAAAAGCTGAGCTGTCAGCACTGACTCACCTGAAGAAGACGTTGAAGCCGAACATGGTGAACATGATGGCCATGTAGCCCAGAACCCCGACTGCATAACTCAGCTTGTAGATGAGCAGAAACCACTTGTAGACCATCCTGGAAATTCAAAAAGAAAAAGACAATAGTTGTCCTGTTAGTCATCATTCACCATGACACACTGTCATGTGTCACTGGACACCTCTGCTTTGAATAAAAGGGTTTAAATTAGGAGCTAATTGGTTTTGCTTTGTTAAATTTTATGTATGTATATCTTTTTATTTGCCTTTGTTTTGTAGTTTTGTTGGTTTTATGTTTTTCATCTTATTATAAAGTATTAACAAGGCCAAAAAGGGCTCACAGGTGTATAAACAGAAAATCCTTAATTTTAAAGCTTGATTTCTACATTATTTATAAACATAATGACCCAGATGTCTACAACTGTAATGTAACTCTCTTTCTAAACTGTATAATAATTAGCCAAAGGATAAAATAGGGGGTAATTGTATGCAAGTTGCCATACCCCAGATCCGTTGTGAAATCTTCGGTCTTTCCTTTATTTCAGTAAAATAAACTCTTTAGTTTGTCTCCACCGTTCCCCTTACCTCGGCGTCCTGCAGGACAGCGGCTTGCGGGTGGCTCTGAAGATGACGTAGCTAGTGATGACGGAGAACATCCCCCACATGGACAGAAAACGCCACCAGTACAGTTTGATGGTGAAGTAAAGAGGAACCACCCACATCTGGACCAGAGTCACCAGCTGTTGAGGACAGAGACAAAGTCCGTATTCAGTATCAGACTAAGCCTGCTACATACAGTGGTGCGAATGGTAAA